GGATTAGTGGTGAAGGTGCTAGTGACACTTGTATTAGGAGAGGTGGATTAGTGGTGAAGGTGCTAGTAACACTTGTGTTACAAGAGTTGGAGTAGTGGTGAACGTGCTAGTGACACTTGTATTAGGAGAGGTGGATTAGTGGTGAAGGTGCTAGTGATGCTTGTGTTAACTAAGTTTAAATTGCAGTAAATGTAAATTAACAAATGAATTCCAGAAAGTAATGTTTATGAATGTGAACAGCACGTGTGATGTTAAAGCATGTAAAAGTAGACAATATCTGCAAATACTGTCTGTTAAGTTGAACAGCATAGGTAGTGTTAAAAGAATGATTTATGTACATTAGTAGCCAGCTTATAGCTCAGTCTTTTTGATCAAACACATCTTCACTTTTATAAGCATTTAGGTTAAATATAGTTTCTAAAATTTATTTTAAAAGTTGGGGATTTTTCAATGATTGAATATGTTGTGAAAAATACTGTAAAATAATACCAAGCAGTTTATTTTTTTTTTAATCTTTTAATATTGCTGTGTTAAAATGATGTTTATTTCAGCATGTATATCTCTAGACCTTAAATACATTTATTTATGTTAAATGTGTTGATAAAAAAAGGAACAGCCATTGAAACTATACTTTAAAGAAAGCCTGACTACCAGTTACTTTACTGTTTTCTTCCCCTGTTTGTAGAAGAAGAATCTGGAACTTCTGGAACATTTCTTGCAAGATGGAGAGAAAGCATACGACAAAAAGGACTACAGAAAAGTAAGATTTCCTTTTTTTCAGAATATGTTTAATAATTAAGCCTTTAAAAACTTAGTCCTCAAAGTAATTGTCACGATACTGCTTTGATCATACAAAGAATAATTCAGATAGGTAACATTTACTGTGTTGTTCTAATGTATGGGGACTTGGTATATTTTATGTTTTGACTGATTTAAAAGTATTAAGCACCTAATTTCTACATATTCTGAATTCAGGACAATATTTTGGAGAAATTCTTTAAAACATACTATTTATTGGTTTACATTGTAGCTCAATTTACTGAATTTTCTCAGCTTGAGAAATTAAGAACTTAATTTTTCTCATTGCTTTCCAAAGAGCTTTGGTGAAGAGTACATATCAACCATGAGTTATAAATCAGGAACTTGTGATGGTGATTGAAGGAAAAAACTTGTTTTTATGTGTTTTATAAACAAGTTCTATTTTTTTCTTTGATGCTAGTTTCATTAATAGTATTAGTTAATTGTTGAATGTATATATATTTATTGTATCATTTTTTTCTTTTTAATTATATATTTTTATGGCAAGGATTATTTAGCATCGTTGGCTTAATATATGGATTTAGGACTTGTCTTAATCTTCTGTTGAACGTGTTTGTACCTTGATAGAGATTATTGGGATTACAGCCAAACGTATTATAACAGCACGAGTAGACAACTGGTGATCATCATAATTGAGAACAGTATATTGAATTAGCTAAAGTTATTACTGGGCTAATTAGATAGATGAAAAGGTAATGATAATAAGTTATATTTCCTTACTTCTAACGTGTAAAAATACTATCACTTAGGTGGTTTTCTGTATGGACAGAGCCCTTCAACAAGCTGTCGCTTCAAATAAGTTCAAACTCATAAAAGCAGAGTGTTTAGCTTTCTTAGGAAGATTTGAAGAAGCTCAAGAAATAGCCAAGTAGGTTGTTGGTTTTCTGATGCCTTTTGTATTCCAGAACTTTACGGCTGTTTATATTAAAATCCTAACAATAATTGGATGAGGCAGATTATAAGTACCATTGTTTCTAGTAAAATAATATATTGTCTTTCTTTTTGAATAAGTAGTTCTGATTTCTCACACCACGTCATATAGTGATGTCTTAGAATTAACACATCATTCAGTTTGATGTATCTCTGGAGTTCTGTTAAAAACTTCTTTCATACAAAAAAAATTAATATTCTGCAATTATAAACAGGTGTGTGAGGACTACTTGTAGGACATTGGGTTTTATTGTATTTTATCATAGTGTTCACTATATAGTGACTAGATAGTAGTGTCTAGTCATAATATTGTGGCTGTTAAGTGTTCACTAGATAGTAGTGTCCAGTCATAATGTTGTGGCTATTAGTGTTCACTAGATAGTAGTGTCCAGTCATAATGTTGTGGCTATTAGTGTCCACTAGATAGTAGTGTCCAGTCATAATGTTGTGGCTATTAGTGTTCACTAGATAGTGACTAGATAGTAGGGTCCAGTCATAATGTTGTGGCTATTAGTATTCACTAGATAGTAGTGTCTAGTCATAATGTTGTGGCTATTAGTGTTCACTGTATAGGCACTAGATAGTAGTGTCTAGTCATAATGTTGTGGCTATTAATGTTCACTGTTTAGGCACTAGATAGTAGTGTCTAGTCATAATGTTGTGGCTATTAATGTTCACTGTATAGTTACTAGATAGTAGTGTCTAGTCATAATGTTGTGACTATTAATGTTCACTGTATTGTCACTAGATAGTAGTGTCTAGTCATAATATTGTGGCTATTAGTGTCCACTAGATAGTAGTGTCTAGTCATAATGTTGTGGCTATTAGTGTTCACTAGATAGTAGTGTCCAGTCATAATGTTGTGGCTATTAGTGTTCACTAGATACTAGTGTCTAGTCATAATGTTGTGGCTATTAGTGTCCACTAGATAGTAGTGTCCAGCCATAATGTTGTGGCTATTAGTGTTCACCATATAGTCACCAGATAGTAGTGTCTAGTCATAATGTTGTGGCTATTAGTGTTCACTAGATAGTGACTAGATAGTAGGGTCCAGTCATAATGTTGTGGCTATTAGTATTCACTAGATAGTAGTGTCCAGTCATAATGTTGTGGCTATTAGTGTTCACTAGATAGTAGTGTCCAGTCATAATGTTGTGGCTATTAGTGTTCACTGTATAGTCGTGTCCAATCATAATGTTGTGGCTATTAGTGTTCACTAGATAGTAGTGTCTAATCATAATATTGTGGCTATTAGTTTTCACTGTATAGTCACTAGATAGTAGTGTCTAGTCATAATGTTGTGGCTATTAGTTTCACTGTATAGTCACTAGATAGTAGTGTCTAGTCATAATATTGTGGCTATTAGTGTTCACTGTATAGTCACTAGATAGTAGTGTCTAGTCATAATGTTGTGGCTATTAGTGTTCACTTATATATAGTCACTAGATAGTGTCCAGCCATAATGTTGTGGCTATTAGTGTTCACTGTATAGTCACTAGATAAGTAGTGTCCAGTAAAGTATTGGCTACTAGTAGTATCCAATGAAGTTAATTCTTATAAGATTTATCGATAATAGAATTAATTTTACATGTTTTATTATTCTAGTGATATTCTTCATCTAGACGCTATGAATGTAGATGCTCTTTATGTTAGAGGAATGTGTCTGTATTACCAGGATTTTATTGAAAAGTCCTATAGTCATTTACAGCAAGTCCTGAGGCTTGCACCTGATTACTCAAAAGTACGAGATCTTTATAGGGTGAGTTTGTAACTTTGTGTTACTCTAGTTGTTTATAAAGTATGTTTAAGATTGGTTAGTATTATTATATATGGTGCTGATTTAACATGATTTACCAGGGGGGGTCTAATATGTATAACTATAGTCTGAGTTAGTAGTTATGTTATAAATTAAAGTAGTTTTAACTTGAATAATGTTACTTACCGATTTCTCTTGGTTATATCTACCAGAAAGTTAAACTTTTAATGACCAAGAAAGATGAGGGAAATGAAGCTTTCAAGAAAGGAAGACTACAAGAGGCATATAATCTCTATTCTAGTGCTCTGGAAATTGACCCATCCAATGTTTACACCAATGCAAAGCTTTATTTTAATCGTGCTACTGTATGTGCTAAGGTAAGTTAATCATTCTGTAGTAGTGATAATCAAAAACCAAGAAATAAAAAAAAAAGATATCCGTAATATGTAGTAATTTTTTAAAAGGTATAAATATGAAATTTACAGACATGGTTTTATTTATTTCATTTTAATATGAATGTAACAACAGGTGTTTAAAAAAAACCTTGAATAATTGAAGTGCCACCCCATGGACCAATACGTAGAACAGTCAGTGTAAGCTCAATTACATAATAAGTCAAACATATTTATATTTAGAAATTGAATTTTTTTTTTATTATATTTAACAGAATTTGTATCTCAACAGTCTAATAAGACAAACATCACTTCAAGCTTTTTTTTTCTGTCTTACTGGAAATGACAAAAACTGTTGAGAACATAAGAAATAAAGTTCAAAGACAGTTTTAATGGTGAAGTTACTAACATTGTTCCTTAAATTTTTAAAGCAAAACATTTATAGTAAAATAAGTAATGTGGGAACACATGAGTGATACAAAAGTAAAGTGAATAAGGTGTACAATGAACTAGTATTTTAAATCTGAGTCTTTTGCTTAACACAGAGCATTACATTATTTTTATACAGTATATCAGTGTACAGTTTTGGAATAATGTACTAAACGTTCTGTATTACTCCTCTTAATTCAGTCTTTTTTTACCTTCTTGGTTTTTACATGAAACACATACAGCCTCAAGAATGTGCATGTTGGGACTGTGTGAATTAAGTCATGTTCATTTGCCTTTTACATGAAACACATACAGCCTCAAGAATGTGCATGTTGGGACTGTGTGAATTAAGTCATGTTCATTTGCCTTTTACATGAAACACATACAGCCTCAAGAATGTGCATGTTGGGACTGTGTGAATTAAGTCATGTTCATTTGCCTTTTTCTTGAATAACAAATTATCTTGTCTGGCATCGCTGTCTTCTTGGAAGTTGAGCTCCTGAGGGAGTGGCATGATGGATTACAATTCTCCTGTACTTTTCAGCAGTCAGGGTGCCATCAATTTTGTGTATACCACCAACATTGTTGGCTGAGATACAGTCTCCAACTTGACTATGATACTATTCTCTCTTTTTTTCCTGTCAAACAAACTGGATTCACCTTTGAATATCACACATTTCCAATTTTTCTCACTCCACTGTTTGTGGTCTAATGCCCATTTTAACTTTTTGGTATGTTTGCAGCTGTTTTCATTTCATGCTAATGTGTATTTGACTGTTTTTAAGGTAATTCACACCTGTATTTACAGCAAAGTTATTTACAAGTTCCTCACTCGACCTTTACCTCTCACAGAATGAACGTATCCTGAGATACGTAACATCACCTTTGGAGGGTTTCAGTTTTCTTCTTCAAACACTTCAGGTATTAACAGTGCCAAATTTTCCATGGAGTATATCCTTGAATGACCAAAATTTTTATTTCTATTTGCTTATCATGTGATATATCAGTCTTGTGAGCTATACCTGGAACCAGAATACTGCTGGGCATAGTATGACTACTTGTGCTTTTTTATAGGTTTTATACTAATAAGGCAAACTCTGATTGGATGGATGTCCACCAATCACAGTGTAAGCCATCAACATGTAGTTGTATTCTAGAGAAATTTATTTTTACATGATACAGTTGTGGCATTCATGTGATATTTGCTTTTTATATCCTTTTTCCTCACTTTCCATAATTAATTCCCATTCTTATATATATTAATGTATGTTGCTTTGTGGTAAGGCTGAACTGTTATTATATTAGCAAGAACAGTAAGACAATGGACACATTTTGTGATTCTCTAAATTTATTAAAATTTCTCTTAATAGGTAATTTCTTGTAGTTTTAATAATCTTTTCAGCACATTTGTTTCGAGAAAATTGTACTTTGGTGCTACAATACAGTTGAAGCTCTGTGATCTTAAAAACACCAAGTTTTTCAAGTAAGTTGTTTTAGAAAAGCAACCTATGATGTTAATTTACTTTCACACTTACTTACCACCACTATGTTGCTTCTTATAATAGATTTCTAAAGTAAAAGAAGCTATAGAAGACTGTACAGAAGCCATCAGGCTGGATGAAAATTACATAAAAGCGTATCTACGTCGTGCAAAGTGGTAAACAATTTTATCTTTTTGTCTAAATATAGAAAAGTTGATGAATTGTCATAGTTAGGAAGCAAAGTTTTTTTTACCACTTTACAATCGGTTGATTTTATAAGGTTTTCAAGCAACTGTGGTTCCTTGTAGAATTTTCCCCGTCCCACCAAACATGCTCACCCTTTCAACCATGGGGGCATTATAATGTGACGGTCAATCCCACTATTTGTTCGTAAAAGAGTAGCCCAAGAGTTGGTAGTGGGTGGTGATAACTAGCTGCCTTCCCTCTAGCCTTTCACTGCTAAATTAGAGATGACCAGTGTAGATGACCCTCGTGTAGCTTTGTGCAAAATTCAAAAACAAACAATCCTTTTAGCATTTTATTTTGGAAACTTTTATTGGGTCACTTAAGAGGAAAGTGTCATGAATTATGTGCCGATGTTTCATAACAGTTCAATGGGAAAGACATGGATGAATTTACTGGGTAACTATGCGAGGTGTTTTTCTTGTTTACTCTATTTTTATTTGTTCGTAAACCAATTGTTTTATGCATTTTTCAGCTTGTTACTAACATATTATTATTAATGATTTATAATAGATATTTGCTAGTATAACTATAAATAAAATTAATGGACTTTGAGTTTCGGTATAAAATGCTACAAGTATATTACAGTAATGAGCAGACTTGAACCCTTTTATGTTCCACCGTCACAAAAACATCCATACATCCTTTGAAATAACATTAATTTTTCATTTGAATGATATTGCCGTTTGTCGACTGCAACACATCTGTACGTCAAACATCATTCTTTTAACATCTTGTTGCTGTTACTTGAATTTGCTTTCATGTTTTAACTTAGAATCTTCTATTATCAATGAAGTAGGATATTTATCTTTTAACTTGTTTTAGCTTTGCTGTCCGTTAATGTCATGTTCTTCTTGTCCCTAACTCCTGACAGTTAGGATATTATAACATACTAACAGAAATGTACTGTCCCGTGTGGTAAATGACATCATGATTTTTTGGACAGTATTTTTTATAATTGGATGTAAATCCAGTAAAATATTTCATCACCTGTACTCCTTTCGGAAATTGCAAACTACTGGTGAGCAATGATTTTATAAATAAGAGAACACGTTAGCAATAACTCTCAGAATACATGTATAGACATAATTGTAGGAAAGTTTGATTTCAAAACCAAAGTTCACAATCCGTACAGACTAAAAGGAAATATTGTTCTATGGTAAGCAGATTGCATGAAAAATTATATGTATATAACCTCACGTTTCAAGTGATGTATATTTCTAGCTTTAAACATTTGAAAATTGTTCAGTTTTTTTGAAATTGTTTGATACTACTACAATTAAAGATTTACTGATTTAGGTATTTCAATTAAAATAAGTGAGAAAATTAATAAAAAGTTTAGATTTGTAGCTATCTCAAATACAGAAGTGTTTTAGCTTTTCAGCAGGGAGTTTATTTAATTATGCATCCCCCAAAAATTATTTATTAGCAAGGTAAAAAGTAAGTTAGGGTTAACAGCTGTTTTTATTATTTCATCCAAATTGTTTGATAATAAAACTCGAGTAAATATATATATTTCTTTTGTCTGTGTGTTTTAGTGATGATTTTATTTTGTTTGTTGGGAGAAAAAGTTGTAGAGATTTTGTAAACTTAATGTTTTAATGTGGAGTTAAAAACCATTGACTAAACCAAAATGTCATTAAGCCTAACAAAAAAAATTACATTTTATTCCAAGCATATGAATAAAATTGTTGAGTTTTCAAACTTTTTAAAGATCTTGAAGATATGAATATCAAATTCCAGGATTTCGAGGCCCTAAAAAACTGTGTCATACAGTGTACATGTTTCAGGGCCTCAAATATCACTAACTGGTATCATACAGTGTACATGTTTCACACAGTTTGTTCAGGGCCTCAAATATCACTAACTGGTATGAACAAACTGTGTGAAACATGTACACTGTATGATACCAGTTAGTGATATTTGAGGCCCTGAACAAACTGTGTGAAACATGTACAGTGTATGATACCAGTTAGGGATATTTGAAGCCCTGAACAAACTGTGTGAAACATGTACAGTGTATGATACCAGTTAGGGATATTTGAGGCCCTGAACAAACTGTGTGAAACATGTATACTGTATGATACCAGTTAGTGATATTTGAGGCCCTGAACAAACTGTGTGAAACGTGTACACTGTATGATACCAGTTAGGGATATTTGAGGCCCTGAAAAAACTGTGTGAAACGTATACTGTGATGATACCAGCTAGGGATATTTGAGGCCCTGAAAAAACTGTGTGAAACATGTACACTGTATGATACCCGTTAGGTATATTTGAAGCCCTGAACAAACTGTGTGAAACGTATACTGTATGATACCCGTTAGGTATATTTGAAGCCCTGAAAAAACTGTGTGAAACATGTATACTGTATGATACCAGTTAGGGATATTTGAGGCTCTGAACAAACTGTGTGAAACATGTACAGTGTATGATACCTGTTAGGCATATTTGAAGCCCTGAACAAACTGTGTGAAATCTGTACACTGTATGATACCAGCTAGCGATATAGTTTTTTACTTGTAACCGTCTAGTGATGTATAGTGTACATCTTTTATAAGATTGGTTATAAGTTTCATAAAGGAGACATCTTTTAAGATATTGCTTCAATAAAAACAAATAATTTCATTTTGAAGTCTGTGTTAGTGGATAAAAACTTAGTGTTTGTGAAATGAATAGATATTTTTCATGGTGTTACAATTTATTTGAAGTTAAAATAATGATTTTAAAAGATAGCGCTTTGGAGCAATTAAACCTATCAGTATTTCTAAAATTACGAAGAAACTTTTTCAGAATGTTACACAATTGTAGGAGAAAAAAAAGAGTTAGAATCTTGCTGAATTTATAAAAACAGTTCACAAGTAAATGATATGTTATAAAACTGTTTTTGTATCTGTGTTTTAGCTACATGGACACCCACCTCTAGTTGGCTCCTTCGTGCAAACAGTTTCGTAATCCCTCACACACTCTTCAAACATTTCTAAAACTATTTTAGTTTGAAAAAGAAATTAACAAAAGGTGAGAGAGAGATTTAGTTGTAGAAGATGGGAAGAACACCAGGCTGGTTGGTATCTTTATAGTTTTATAAAGTAAATATAATGAATACGAAGTAAGCAACTATGAAGAAGCCATTAATTAATAATTAGTAAAAAGAAGGCATTTCAAATCAATGGAAAAGCTCGAAGCTAGTAATTGTTTAGAAAGTGAGCAACTGTATAACTTGTACTTCCACGTGATGGAGTGAACAAGAGGAAAATGACTATTTAATTTCAACACGTAAAGTTAATACAACTATTTGATACCTGTACAGGAAGTACAGAGATATGGGTTAGTACAGGAAAAGTGAATGTTTAGTTTTTATACAAAAAAATGGGCAAGAGGCTTCTCGTTAATTACTTGTATTTCAAGAAAGTAACAACAGACAGACAGGGTAAGGTTTTACACTGAAATAAGCGAAAAAGAAATACGTAGTTAGATAGATTAAGTAAAGAAAATAAGAAAAGCCATTTGGAGTTTTGGAGAGAAAGAACCGAGGGACAGAAGGACGTTTGGAATATGAAACACTTTGAGTAGCAAAATTTTTCATCATTAAAGATTACGCATGTAAACAAAATCTTCAAGAAAAATAACTTTAGTGTGTAAAAAACGTTACATTCATCAGTAGTAGCGTTCGTAATGCTTAAGTTACCAATTTTTATTATTGTTTTATTTCTATAAGGATTATTCTGCATTGTTAGAATAATATATAGATTTAGGTCTAACCCAAATCTCCTAAGCTGGCTGAAACTTGAGAGATATTTGTAGGATTATGGCCAAAAGTATCGTGAGCAGTGAGAGTGCCCACTGATGAATCCATGTATTCGTTACTGGATTAAGTTTTCTGATTTGTGTAGGTAGGCAGTTTGACGTTGATGTTTAAAAGTTAATGAGTTATTATTATAGATTGATTCAACATTACTTTATGACCATATCTATAAGGGTGGGGGTCAAAGTGCGCAAGTCACGACCTGTTACAGAATGTCATTCAACATGGTATGTATTTGATGTCAGAGTTATCAACGATTCATTTTAGTTTACACAACTAATTTAATGACAGTTCCTGATAGAGGAGAATAAAAAAAACACATACATGATACAGAAATACTGAAAGAAACTAATGATATACATTCTGGAGTTTCTAAAGGATATCCACATACAGTATGCTAACTGTACAGTAGACAAAAGTGTCTGTTCTTCACATGAATGACAATTTGAAGACTATCTTAAGTACAGATACTTTTGTAACTCATCTGATATTTTGTGTGTATAATGAACTTGTACATTTTACTTAAAGTTTGTCTCATTTTGTGTAGAAACACTTAGTAGATTTGGAATTATAATTAACATTCCTTCTTCAGTGCCCCTCAGTGGCACAGCAGTATGTCGATGGACTTACAACGCTAGAAACCAGGTTTTGATACCGTAGTGGGCAGAGCACAGATAACCCATTGTGTAGCTTTGTGCTTAACTTCAAACAATCAAACAAACCTTCTTCAGTACGTGGTTGGTCTGTTGGATTGAGGCTGTACACTTTGATGTAAACAAGAGACATATAATGTAGGTAACCGGCTTTGACCAGAAGTTAACACTAAAAGGTTAATGGCTGTGTTGTTTTTATAGAGGTATTCAGCACTATCGTATAAATGCATTTCATGGAAGAACAAGAATTAAAACTTCCGTTTAACTCCTTTCTTATGATGACCCTTTTATTTGCACGTCACAAGATTTTACTTAGTTACATTTAAAATTTAATTAAGCTATTTTATGCTCAATGAAAGCAGCATAAAAATTTACATTATTGTTCAAAGTTTTAAATCCTTTATTTCAAAAGAAAAATTCATAAAGTTTAGTTTTATTCTGCAAGTTCAGAAAATGTTAAATTTGTAGTTTGATCAGTTCTTGACTCACGCTAACCTTCCGTATGTAGAAAGAATCTACGTTAATTGCTCTGTTTTCAAGATCCATAGGGCACATTTGGGGAAAGGAAAAATAAATTTCTTTGACAGCTGCCATGTCCACTTTGTATACACAGAGTAGTGATTTCTCAGCCAATTATACTTAGTTGAGCTACATGTTTACAACCAATGGAAAGAGCGCTTTTTGAAGTATGTTCTCTGAACTGTTATTTTAAAATTGGTGCAAAGAATTATATATAGAGAACTAGTTAAAGCACTTTGAGCATTGTTGCTGCTTTGTCCTTGCCTCTTTAGCATTATTTCTCACCTAGAAATGTTAATTACATAGACAGTTTCATTGTATTTAGGTTTTACTTTTATATTTTACTTAATTATGTGTTATTTAGGTTTTAAAATTCATATTTCAAAGGTTTAATAATTTTTCTATATATATATAAATAAGCCAATGCCTGCTCGGTTCACAAGAGATATCATAACACGCGAATGCCATCACGTTCTGCCGAGGGCTAAAGTTTACTATACAGTAATATTGGTCGGGGACACCCGTTTACTTGTGTTACAATAAGTAACAGAGCTGAAGGACAGGAAAAGGTAATAAAACATTAAAATAAATTATATGTGAAAATGTAAAAGACACACAAAAAAGATGTTTTCATATTATTTCACCAAATATTAAATGGTGTGTACATTTTTTCCTATGTCTTACTTTTTAAACATTTCATTGTAATGTACTATAGACTGTATAGTATAAGTTGACGATAATAGCTACTGTTAGTAATATCATAGAGAAAGTGAAAAATATATATATATATATATATATAATAATTTTATTTAAAAAGAAGTTTAGATATTTGCTTTGGAAGTTCTAGGGGTCATGCAAATGAAATTTGAAACCTATAAGTTGGAAAAAAAAAATTTATACACATGTTGTTTTCTTGGTTATGCAAGAGGCTACTTGGGTTCATACCTGTAAACTTAGAATTAATCTTATACACGTGTTGTTTTCTTGGTTATGCAAGAGGCTACTTGGGTTCACTCCCGTAAACTTAGAATTAATCTTATACACGTGTTGTTTTCTTGGTTATGCAAGAGGCTACTTGGGTTCACTCCCGTAAACTTAGAATTAATC